CTGTCAGCATCACTGGAGTCTACAGTCATCCTCCTGTCAGCATCACTGGAGTCTACAGTCATCCTCCTGTCAGCATCACTGGAGTCTACAGTCATCCTCCTGTCAGCATCACTGGAGTCTACAGTCATCCTCCTGTCAGCATCACTGGAGTCTACAGTCATCCTCCTGTCAGCATCACTGGAGTCTACAGTCATCCTCCTGTCAGCATCACTGGAGTCTACAGTCATCCTCCTGTCAGCATCACTGGAGTCTACAGTCGTCCTCCTGTCAGCATTACTAAAGTCTACAGTCGTCCTCCTGTCAGCATTACTAAAGTCTACAGTCGTCCTCCTGTCAGCATTACTAAAGTCTACAGTCGTCCTCCTGTCAGCATTACTAAAGTCTACAGTCGTCCTCCTGTCAGCATTACTAAAGTCTACAGTCGTCCTCCTGTCAGCATTCTAAAGTCTACAGTCGTCCTCATGTCAGCATTACTAAAGTCTAGTCTCCTCATGTCAGCATCACTGGAGTCTACAGTCATCCTCCTGTCAGCATCACTGGTGTCTACAGTCATCCTCCTGTCAGCATCACTGGAGTCTACAGTCATCCTCCTGTCAGCATCACTGGAGTCTACAGTCATCCTCCTGTCAGCATCACTGGAGTCTACAGTCGTCCTCCTGTCAGCATCACTGGAGTCTACAGTCGTCCTCCTGTCAGCATTACTAAAGTCTACAGTCGTCCTCATGTCAGCATCACTGGTCAGTCCTGTCAGCATCACGTCTACAGTCATCCTCCTGTCAGCATCACTGGAGTCTACAGTCATCCTCCTGTCAGCATCACTGGAGTCTACAGTCATCCTCCTGTCAGCATCACTGGAGTCTACAGTCATCCTCCTGTCAGCATCACAGTCTACAGTCATCCTCCTGTCAGCATCACACTCTACACTGTCAGCATCACTGGAGTCTACAGTCATCCTCCTGTCAGCATCACTGGAGTCTACAGTCATCCTCCTGTCAGCATCACTGGAGTCTACAGTCATCCTCCTGTCAGCATCACTGGAGTCTACAGTCATCCTCCTGTCAGCATCACTGGAGTCTACAGTCATCCTCCTGTCAGCATCACTGGAGTCTACAGTCATCCTCCTGTCAGCATCACTGGAGTCTACAGTCATCCTCCTGTCAGCATCACTGGAGTCTACAGTCATCCTCCTGTCAGCATCACTGGAGTCTACAGTCATCCTCCTGTCAGCATCACTGGAGTCTACAGTACAGTCATCCTCCTGTCAGCATCACTGGAGTCTACAGTCATCCTCCTGTAGCAGTCATCATCCTCCTGTCAGCATCAGTCTACAGTCATCCTCCTGTCAGCATCACTGGAGTCTACAGTCATCCTCTACAGTCATCCTCCTGTCAGCATCACTGGAGTCTACAGTCATCCTCCTGTCAGCATCACTGCATCAGTCTACAGTCATCCTCCTGTCAGCATCACTGGAGTCTACAGTCATCCTCCAGTCTCCTGGGAGTCTACATCCTCCTGTCAGTCATCCTCCTGTCAGCATCACTGGAGTCTACAGTCATCCTCCTGTCAGCATCATCTGGAGTCTAGTCTACAGTCATCCTCCTGTCAGCATCACTGGAGTCTACAGTCATCCTCCTGTCAGCATCACTGGAGTCTACAGTCATCCTCCTGTCAGCATCACTGGAGTCTACAGTCATCCTCCTGTCAGCATCACTGGAGTCTGAGTCTACAGTCATCCTCCTGTCAGCATCACTGGAGTCTACAGTCATCCTCCTGTCAGCATCACTGGAGTCTACAGTCATCCTGTCAGGAGTCTACAGTCATCCTCCTGTCAGCATCACTGGAGTCTACAGTCATCCTCCTGTCAGCATCACTGGAGTCTACAGTCATCCTCCTGTCAGCATCACTGGAGTCTACAGTCATCCTCCTGTCAGCATCCTGGAGTCTACAGTCATCCTCCTGTCAGCATCACTGGAGTCTACAGTCATCCTCCTGTCAGCATCACTGGAGTCTACAGTCATCCTCCTGTCAGCATCACTGGAGTCTACAGTCATCCTCCTGTCAGCATCACTGGAGTCTACAGTCATCCTCCTGTCAGCATCACTGGAGTCTACAGTCATCCTCCTGTCAGCATCACTGGAGTCTACAGTCATCCTCCTGTCAGCATCACTGGAGTCTACAGTCATCCTCCTGTCAGCATCACTGGAGTCTACAGTCATCCTCCTGTCAGCATCACTGGAGTCTACAGTCATCCTCCTGTCAGCATTCACTGAGTCATCCTCCTGTCAGCATCACTGGAGTCTACAGTCATCCTCCTGTCAGCATCACTGGAGTCTACAGTCATCCTCCTGTCAGCATCACTGGAGTCTACAGTCATCCTCCTGTCAGCATCTACAGTCATCCTCCTGTCAGCATCACTGGAGTCTACAGTCATCCTCCTGTCAGCATCACTGGAGTCCAGTCATCCTCCTGTCAGCATCACTGGAGTCAGCATCACAGTCATCCTCCTGTCAGCATCACTGGAGTCTACAGTCATCCTCCTGTCAGCATCACTGGAGTCTACAGTCATCCTCCTGTCAGCATCACTGGAGTCTACAGTCATCCTCCTGTCAGCATCACTGGAGTCTACAGTCATCCTCCTGTCAGCATCACTGGAGTCTACAGTCATCCTCCTGTCAGCATCACTGGAGTCTACAGTCATCCTCCTGGCATCACTGGAGTCTACAGTCATCCTCCTGTCAGCATCACTGGAGTCTACAGTCATCCTCCTGTCAGCATCACTGGAGTCTACAGTCATCCTCCTGTCAGCATCAGTCTACAGTCATCCTCCTGTCAGCATCACTGGAGTCTACAGTCATCCTCCTGTCAGCATCACTGGAGTCTACAGTCATCCTCCTGTCAGCATCATCACTGGAGTCTACAGTCATCCTCCTGTCAGCATCACTGGAGTCTACAGTCATCCTCCTGTCAGCATCACTGGAGTCTACAGTCATCCTGTCAGCATCACTGGAGTCTACAGTCATCCTCCTGTCAGCATCACTGGAGTCTACAGTCATCCTCCTGTCAGCATCACTGGAGTCTACAGTCATCCTCCTGTCAGCATCACTGGAGTCTACAGTCATCCTCCTGTCAGCATCACTGGAGTCTACAGTCATCCTCCTGTCAGCATCACTGGAGTCTACAGATCCTCCTGTCTCAGTCATCCTCCTGTCAGCATCACTGGAGTCTACAGTCATCCTCCTGTCAGCATCACTGGAGCATCACTGGTCACAGTCCAGTCATCCTCCTGTCAGCATCACTGGAGTCTACAGTCATCCTCCTGTCAGCATCACTGTCAGCATCACTGGATGTCTACAGTCATCCTCCTGTCAGCATCACTGGGTCTACAGTCATCCCCTGTCAGCATCACTGGAGTCTACAGTCATCCTCCGTGTCAGCATCACTGGGGTCTACTGGTCCTCCTGTCAGCATCACTGGAGTCTACAGTCATCCTCCTGTCAGCATCACTGGGGGTCTACAGTCATCTACCATCCTCCTGTCAGCATCACTGGGGTCTACAGTCATGTCTCCTGTCAGCATCACTGGGTCTACAGTCATCCTCCTGTCAGCATCACTGGAGTCTACAGTCATCCTCCTGTCAGCATCAGTCTACAGTCATCCTCCTGTGGAGTCTACAGTCATCCTCCTGTCAGCATCACTGGAGTCTACAGTCATCCTCCTGTCAGCATCACTGGAGTCTACAGTCATCCTCCTGTCAGCATCACTGGAGTCTACAGTCATCCTCCTGTCAGCATCACTGGAGTCTACAGTCATCCTCCTGTCAGCATCACTGGAGTCTACAGTCATCCTCCTGTCAGCATCACTGGAGTCTACAGTCATCCTCCTGTCAGCATCACTGGAGTCTACAGTCATCCTCCTGTCAGCATCACTGGAGTCTACAGTCATCCTCCTGTCAGCATCACTGGAGTCTACAGTCTACAGTCTCATCCTCCTGTCAGCATCACTGGAGTCTACAGTCATCCTCCTGTCAGCATCACTGGAGTCTACAGTCATCCTCCTGTCAGCATCACTGGAGTCTACAGTCATCCTCCTGTCAGCATCACTCACTGGAGTCTACAGTCATCCTCCTGTCAGCATCACTGGAGTCTACAGTCATCCTCCTGTCAGCATCACTGGAGTCTACAGTCATCCTCCTGTCAGCATCACTGGAGTCTACAGTCATCCTCCTGTCAGTCTGGAGTCTACAGTCATCCTCCTGTCAGCATCACTGGAGTCTACAGTCATCCTCCTGTCAGCATCACTGGAGTCTACAGTCATCCTCCTGTCAGCATCACTGGAGTCTACAGTCATCCTCCTGTCAGACTGGAGTCTACAGTCATCCTCCTGTCAGCATCACTGGAGTCTACAGTCAGTCATCCTCCTGTACAGTCATCCTCCTGTCAGCATCACTGGGAGTCTACAGTCAGTCATCCTCCTGTCAGCATCACTGGAGTCTACAGTCATCCTCCTGTCAGCATCACTGGAGTCTACAGTCTGGATACCTCCTGTCAGCATCACTGGATTCTACAGTCATCCTCCTGTCAGCATCACTGGAGTCTACAGTCATCCTCCTGGCAGCATTAGTGATGTCTCTGGTCATCCTCCTGACAGCATCTCTAGAGTCTCCAGTCATCCTCCTGACAGAACCTCTGAAGTGCCTTGAAGTTTCTGTGTTAATATTGTGCACCCTGGCCCATATTTCACATGGTGGAATAACATGGTAGAATAATTTGGAGGTTCCAGAAGCTCGATCAGTGGGATGACTGTAAACAAAATGGTATAATTTGGTAGCATAAGGTGCCAAATACTATTCAGCCACTCCTGATTTGCCCACACTTTTAACATATTCACTTTTAAAGAGAAACATTAAAAATAAGCGTACAAAAAAGTTTATATTATACAGTATGTGAATGAAAAAAAAATCTCAATTAATTTTAAAGTCATTATATGGCATTGGTACTTACTTCTATTCCAATTTCAAACCCCCCACCAAGTCCAGCTATGCCAATAGCAGAAGGAGCAGACCATTCTAGTGTAAACAGAGACTGAGTTAGTCAAATCTCAATCAAGACAAGCAACATAGTTTTTCAGAAGAAATTACATTTAATGCAGATGTACGAAAGTGTAAGTTCACATTTGGAACATGTTACATGTATTTAAGGTGTAACATGTAACATGTTCCAGGGCCTCCCCCTCCTCATCCATGATAGTGGGAAGGGGTTCCTCTCCCCCACAGCCACTGTCACATTGAAAATCAGCATGGCTGTGCAGGCCTCCGCCCACATGGTCATGTCATTCATTCACTGGGATCTGTGAATGAATATACTACAAGTCCCATCTTTCGCCATGGCAGATTAACTTGTAGTTCTCAATGGACTATAAGTGTGCTGATTAGTGCCCTTGTAGTCCATTGACACGCCCTCCATATTTCTGTTAGAAAACTGGAAGAAGTGTCTGCAGGAGCCTGACATTGCATTCAATCCATTGATCACCAGTGCAATGCTTTGCAGGATCCTGGGGGAAAAATATTAAATGGTCATTTTTTACTGCAAAAATTTGCTTTTATTATTTTTTCCTTAAAGGTGAACTAAGCCTTTAAGTTACATTTTAGAACAAAAGATCTTCAGGAACTCTGATATACAGTGACTTGAAAAAGTATTCATACCCCCTTGAAATGTTCCACATTTTGTCATGTAACAACCAAAAACATAAAAGTGTTTTATTGGGATTTTATGTGATAGACCAACACAAAGTGGCACATCATTGTGAAGTGGAAGGAAAATGATAAATGACTTTCAAAATGTTTTACAAATAAATATCTGAAAAGAGTGGCGTGCATTTGTATTCAGCCCCCTTTACTCTGATACCCCTAACTAATATCTAGTGGAACCAATTGCCTTCAGAAGTCACCTAATTAGTAAATACAGTCCACCTGTGTGTAATATGCAGAGCCATACAAAGCAGTATGCAGGAGCTGACAGGGGAGAGATCTGTATTGCTTCCCCGTCGGAAATACTTAGCAATCACTGGGTGCCGACGAGTAATCACCAGCCGGGACCTGGTGATGGACAGCCGAGGCCATGAATGGCAGCGCAGTAGAGCGCCCCCTACCTGGAACTGCAAAATCACGTATATATATGTGATTTTGAGCACCCCTGCTGCCCTGTAGCAGTATTTCTGCTATAGGGCGGAGCGGAACTGGTTAAATGCAATGGAGAAAAGTCAAGTCACCAACATCGTTCTGCCATCTGGCAGAATTGATAAATATGGACTGACAAAAATACAAATAGTTTGGCAGGTAAAACAGTTCTCATATATGTAACTTTTTGCTTAGAGTTCAGCTTTAATTTAATCTTGGAAACAAAGAAGAAACATAGATGGCACTTTCCCACTCAGAATAAGATGTATATAAATGTATATATACAGGAAGTGTGCTAATTTTACAATTTTGTTTTCTGTTTTACAGTAATGGTAAGTAAGGTAAGACCGTTTAGCATGAAGCTGTGATTAGGTCAGTTTTGGCAACCAGAAATGACTTACTTCCATCTGAAAGGCGTGCTAAGACTATTCCACTTCCTCCTCGAGCAGTCACCAAGAAGCCAGCTTTTATAACAGACAGAATGGCAAGGCCTTGTGCTTTGGCAATAACATGAGCTGTACAGGAGTACAAAGACAAATGAGATATAATGCAGATAGAGTGAATAAATTAGGTCAATCAGGAAAGCAGACTGAGCAAAATCTATGCCACATGTGTGCAATAAACGCTTTTGTCTATTTTATATCAGATCATCATAGATCAGATATTGATAGGCATAATGGAATTATACACCAGCAGGGTCTGAAGTGGTATGATTAGCTGTGATGTATGATGGACATTCATTTTCAACCCTGTAATATTCTCTGTACAATGTCACAGAATGGAAAACATTGCTGCTTGAACAGAATTTTAAAGAACATCATCTATCCCTAGTTCCCACTGAAAATGTAATGAAATTGGAGCAGCGCTAAGCACTTGTCGCTTTGTTATATGATTATCCTGCATTTGGGATTCACTATGTATGACACTCGGTGTATGTTTACAATCTCGTTTTCTGGGATTGGGGTGTTTACTTTTTTATCCACCATACACTGGGCCCAATTAATGACCAGGTTGACGGATTCACAATATTCACCATTTATGTGGCACATATCATTATGCTTCAGATCCCTGTACGATCTTATCACAATTTTTATTATTTGAGTATATATATGTTTATGTTATTTATTTTAGCGCTTCACCAATTTAAGTATTTTGTGTTTATGCACCTATAGGTATAGGATTGGGGTGTTAGCAGCTTCATATTATTTATAGGCCCATATAAAGCGCAGGGGGATTACCGTTTTAATAAAATGATGGATGTTGCATATTTTTTGTCACACTGCATTTGCGCATTGGTTTTTCAAAGCCAAATTTTTGGGAAAAAAAACACTTTAATGGACTTTAATGCACAAAAAACAACATAACAAATTGTTTGGTAAAATATAAAAGATGAGGTTGTGCTAAATAGATACCAAATATGTCATGTTTCAAAATTGCATACACCCATGGAATGGCGCCAAACTACAGTACCTAAAAGTCTTCATATGCAACCCTTTAAAAACCTTTACAGGTTACCAGTTTAGATTTGCACAGGAGGTCTGGCGCACTAATTACTGCTCTCGCTCTGATGTTCAGGGCGATACCTCACATGTGTGGTGTGATCTCCATTTACTTATGTGTGCGGGACCAACAGGGGTACTTTAAAAAAATTTTTTGTTTTATTGTTTATTAGATTTGATTTTTTTTATCACTTGTATTGCTGTCACAAGAAATGTAAACATCCTTTGTGAAAGCATGGGCCATGGTAGGTCCTCTTTTTGGAGAGACCTGGGGTTTATTAGATCCCATAGCTCTCCTCTGGACTCCAAAGCATCATATCACACCAAGATCGGTCTTATCTGATGCTTGTTTAAGCTGTTACACAGTGGGAGAATGGATATCCGTTCCTATCATTGTGTCTGAAAAACAGGATGTCACTGGTTGCATCCTTCCAGGGCCCCGATGGGAAAGTGCCCAGTAAAGGCAGTAGCGGGAGGGGGAGGAACCCCCTTTTCCTGTAAAAGTAATCCAGCAGCTCTTTATGCGCTCTGATTACTTTTACAAGACACAGAAATGCTGGCTCTAAAAATTGATAAAATCGATGCCGATGCAGCGATGACCGAGATTATAAGGTTAACCCTTTTGGGTTGTATATCCATTTTCCAAACATTGAAAAGATTGTTAGGCAGCACATTAGCTAAGTGGACAGTACTTCCACCTGACACCACTAGGGTTGTTAGAATCTCAACCACAACACTACCTGCCTAAAGTTTGCATGTTTCTCTCTGTGCATGCGTGGGTTTCCTCTGTGTATGCCAGTTTCCTCCCACACATCAACGACATGCTGGTAGGTTAATTGGCTGCTGTCTAAATTGGCCCTAGTATGTATATACATGAATGTGAGTTAGGCACCTTAGATTACAAGCTCCTTGATGTAATTGTACAATATACATTTATATGTAAATCACTGTGTAAATTGTCAGTGCTATATACAGTAAGTACCAGTAATAAATAATAATGGTTTATATATTCAAACAACTGTGGGAAAAGTAAACTACAAAAATGTTTCTACAATAAGATGGGATTTTTGAAAATATAATATATGAATACATTACTGAGTAATATATGAATAAATTACTTGAAATTGATCAAGAAAGCAGCTATATTAACAGAATGCAATTTTGTCAGCTTTCCTTGCGTTTTGACGCTTAAACTTGGTTCACACTGCTGCAGCCCCAAAGTCATGCGACTTATGATTTCCTTGTGACTTTCATGATTTAACATTGCAGTTTATAGCACTCAAGTTGCTCCAAAGTCCCAGAGAAGTAGAGCAGGAACCTTTTTTTTTTTTGCTACTGCAACTTGAGTTGCATTGATTAAGATGGCACCTATTGAAATTAATGCGTTTTGATTTGTCATGACTGCAGAACGAAATGAAAACGAGAAGCGCACCAACCTTGCGCATTACCTCAATAACCAAAATTTATTAATTATAAAAATATACTCAAAAACAGTGAATAAAATCAGGCATGTAAGTCCTCAAAGGGACTTGAAGACAGCGCGAATCCCATCAAGGGGATGGATATTCAGTACAGCTGATGCGTTTCGAAGGGCGATGAAGAAGGGACACCCTTCGAAAGGCGTCAGCTGTACTGAATATCCATTCCCTTGATGGGATTCGCGCTGTCTTCAAGTCCCTTTGAGGACTTACATGCCTGATTTAATTCGCTGTTTGTGAGTATATTTTTATAATTAATACATTTTGGTTATTGAGGTAATGCGCAAGGTTGGTGCACTTCTCGTTTTCATTTTGTTCTGCAGTATTGGTCGGGCTTCCCCAGCCTTGTTTGGAGCCGCACAACCCTACATGTATTGGTGGTCGATTTTTCCAGGTCTGGTTCCATCCATCCGCCACCTGTCTGGGTCCTAGAGCGCAGGAGAAATCATTTTTGATTTACTGTCTCGATTTGTCATGAGACTTCAGTAGCAGCAGTGAGAACCGGGGACTAAAAAAAGGGATCTCAAAAAACATCTGGAGTGATATATTAGGGATTTAATTGGTAAAAAAGATAACAAATATTTAAGGAACAAAACTGCATTATGTGGTGGCCGTACTTAAAAATGCACAATGTGGCGCAGAATAAGACCATATATATAAATGTGGAAATAAGGTAGATATTTATTCAGATTGTAGATGAAAATAAATCAGCTGCATCAGATTACTTTGCTTTATCTTCACTGGAGGAATCAACAAGAAGGACATTCCCACAGTGAGTGTAAAGAGTTAGCAGTGGTAGGTATGATACATGGATGGACACTAAATTCATCATTCATAATCATATTTACTTGCTTGAAAATAGCAAACTCTCTACCCCAGTAAGTAGACATGTTCGTTTCCACCATTAGTTTGACAGCGGTGTTATTCATTTTGTAGTGTTTGTTCTTATTCATAAAAATCCTAGTGGTGGGGACTGATAATACCATTTTATGTGTACAACAAAAAGTGCAGCGCTCTATTCATCAAAACCGCAACCAACCAAAAAAAAAAGCAAACAAAATGTGCAATATATAATGATTAAACTGTGTCCACAAAAAGTATTATAATAGTAGTGAAGATGATTAGTCAAACATGCCGTGATGGAAAAAGTAAACTTTGAGAGATAGCCAAGGTGACACCATCCACTCTCATGCAAGGTTTACCGGAAGACTTGCGACCCCTGCTAAGAGTGGTCAATCAACGCTCTCTAATGTATTATAGATGACATCATAAACATTGGATGCTTATCCTCCAATATAGGCTTAAGATAGTGACAAGCAATCTCCTTAAAAATGCTTCTTTACTTGGAGATGGCTCCAAAACATTCCAATACAAATTAATAGGACCCAAACTGCAATTGTGGTGGATTCCCAGGAAGTTGGATGAATTTGGGCAGTTTTTATGACCCTCCATTACTCCTGATGAAGCAAAAATATGAAGTTCTGGAGACGTGTTGAGCTTCACAACAGCCTACCACAACTGCAGTTTGGGTTCTATTGATTTGTATTGGAATGTTTTGGAGCCATCCATAATAAATACCACAAGATTACCTACATTGTAGACTTTACAAAGATTGATATTTACCTAATCTACCAAGAAACAATACAAGCAAATGACAAAATAATTTGTGTACAACCTGCCTGGGAGGGTATGGGTAAGAAGAGATATTCTGATGATAATTAGAAAGAAAAACAAGAAAAAAAAAAAAAAAACAACAACCTCTACAGTTTGTGGTATTATTCCTATTATCTTGTTTGTTACTATGGTGCTATCCAAAATATATCATAAGAAATTAAGTAGCGCCTTCGCATTATTCAGGCTCTCCATTTTGCCATGAATTTATGAGCACAGTGTTTCTTAAACGCTAAAAATTTTTCATACTGACATTATCTATTCAGTCTAATAATAACTTTGAGAAAGTTTGAGAGATGTAACACTTTTCTATTTATTAATAATTGTTAATCTAGCAGCAAATAGAATAGAAACTGCTACAGTCCTACATTCCTACAGTGAGAGATGTAGCAGTTGAAATCATTAAAATACAGACTTCCAAAAGTTTCGGATGCCAGAGAATATGCAATAAACCCCCAACATTTTGACAAGTGCATAGTGGTGAGGGTGCAGAGTAGATTTTAGAGAATCTAAATGGTGTCAAATCAGCAGTGTAGTATCTTCTGAAAATGATCTATACAAGTGAATTTGCTATTAATTATAAGAGTTGCTCTCCTCTGTTCTGGGGTAAAAGAGCTTTGAATATGTTATTCCCATTTAAGCACTGAAGGGTTTTTAGAGAAAGTGCTTTTGGAGGTCTTTAAAGTAGTATAGAACTGCCAAGAGGGGATGGTAACAGATTTGTGTAAAAATATAGTATAAAAATGGTTAATCTGAAGTAATTTATACTCATCCTTACCATTCAAGATGTATGGTAAATCATCCAATGTTCAATAACCTTTGTAGATCCATGCTTGTATATTTACAGTGCAGGATTAGAAACTCGTA